GTTAGCTGATGGGAAACGATTTGGATGTTGCCACATGGGGATAGAATCTGAATGTCAAAAAGCCAGTTGAGTATGAGCAGCGATAGAAGGGGAGGAATTGGGGAGGGGGGACTTGCTTCGTGCACGCTTCACCTTAATTCTCGATAATGGCAAGTTATCGAACACAAAGCTCTCGTTGTAATACGGATTCAACGTGTTTCGCTTGATCGTGGACTTTTTCCGCCGTAGAGCCTTTTTGTTCTCCGAGATCTCCAATTTCACATAAGGATCTACAGTAGACAGCGATATTTCCATGTATTACTTGGACAGTTCGATGGAAACGTTCAGATTTTTTACCAAAAATTCCACCGCCTGAAATCTGCACTCAAAGGCCTACCTGATAAACCGCCTACGTCCATTTTCTTCAGATTTTTAGCTTCCAAAATAACCACGGTCAATTTGCCAGCTGTGGGAACGTATCGAAGCGAGAAGCAGATGTCCCCAAGGCTTTTCTCCTGAAATCGAATTTAAAGGCGAAACTCGTGAGAAAATGGCTGAATAGGCGATGTGTTGATGAAAGAGCTGGCGGAAGCTGCTGCGATAATGAAAGCCAGAAAATAGAAATGAAATAGAAAAGATGAATTAGAAGAAAAACCAACGGCTTCTTTGTCGTCCGGAGGTGGTGCAATGTCCTTCCATTCCTCAATTACTTGGCCAAGATCGATTTTCCCAAGGGGAATGAGCACCTGAAAGCAGCCTACTTACTATGGAATGAATCTTTCCAGGGTAGTATTCAAACTCCCTCACAACTTTGAACCGAATTACAAGGCAATAAATCACTTCTATGGAGATTGGATGTAGGTGAAAATTTGTAAAGCGAAACTGCTACCTGTTTTTCCTCAGGGGGGGGGGGTTATGAGCGGTCAATTTGCCGAATCTGTAGATCACTTAACCACTTTGTTTATGAGAAAGAGGGCAGATGCTGGAGGGTTGGGATAGCGGCTCGCAATACAAAGATAGTATAGACACGCAACACGCCATAAGGTCTACAGTCCGGCCAGGCCGCGCGCCAGCACTCTTGCTGTGGAATTCAAACGCCCAGATTCCGCCACGCGTTGGCAACGTTATCGTTGAGTGTAGCATACATGCTTCCAATCAAAGAGCTGATGGAGACAAAAAAGGATACAGTACCACAACCCTTTAGCTTCATTTCCGCGTACGAAAAGTGGCAAAAGCGTTATATTTTCCCAGATCTGCCCAAAAACCATCAATGGTTATGGTAATGGGGGTTGTTTTTATAAAAGGAACACTTACAAACAATGAGCGTCTACAGTGGAACTGATTCTGAAGAGAAATATTCTCGCGGAAAGAAGGCAAGATAAGCTGTTACTGTTCAGTCGCGGACATCAACTAGATAGCACTCAGAAACAATTCAAGTTCCCCTTCCTTGCGTTAGGCAATCGTTCTGTGATCTGAAAAAGTAGAAAGGAGTAAGCCCCTCTCTTCTTCGAGCTCACAGCCTAATAGAACAAATTAGCTTCGGCAAGTGGAGCATATGGTATCTTTTAGGATAAATTTATTGGCTTGAAGGAAGTTTCATGCGGTTTACGACTCTTAATTTCCAATTGCGCAATTTCTCGGCGCTAATAAGAATTTCATTAATTGGATTCACACTATTAGGTTGTTCGAAAAGTCCTGCGACACTTTTTTGAACTATTCTAGAAAAAGACCAAAAATCATTTTGAATGTTTTTATCTCTGATTAGTGGAGACTCTCCTGAGGTTTCTGAAAATGGGTATATCATGGCTCCGTGGAAGTTTTCAAAGCTTAAAAATACCTCAGAGATCGAGGTACTTCTCGACCTATCCCATATTATGAGTTCCTGTAGGGCAACTCCGCCATAGTCGAGGAAGCTAACACTTACGTTGTCTTGAGGAAGGATATCGCTTGCCATTTTATTAGCAGAGAGTTTCTTTTTGCTATCAGCGTTCCAGCTGGCACTTATCTCAAACTCGAAGTAGGCAATGTAAATAGGCCGGCCAACCAGCACAGAAGATGGCCCTTTATCAAGCTTTCTTGAAGCCGCAGCGAACGTAACCACCAGCTAATTGGCAACCTTCTCTAGCGCTCCACTAAGGTGACGACTAGCCCATGCTTCTCCGCAGTCTCGGTTATCGGAAAAATTTTTTATGAAGGATGCCTCATGAGTTGGTCCCCTCTGACAAGTCATACCGAATGACCGTGACTGAGTTTTTTTTCCTTGTACACACTGGAGGAACATTTGTGAGATCTTGTGGTGTGATAGAGGGGCTGGGTCGCCTTCGCTAGATCTTGCACATGTTCGCTTCGCGCAGCATTTCTCAGCAAAGAAAAGTAGAGTTGCAGTCAGCCAAAGGCAGATGTCCATGGGATAAATATTTCAGTAGGTTATAGGTAGGACTTCAAGGCGGTATCTCTGGATGCTAGCATAACAGTAAGGACCCAGTCCACTCTACACCAACCTCACAACATGGATGACGTCACGCTTCAATTCTTCAAAAATACTCAATTTTCTCTACCGCTCGGCAATGCGAAGACCGCATGTTAAGATCAGGCCAGCCACCGTCAAAATTGTGAATCTCCGATCTGAGCAATGCGACATACCCAGTCTTATTGATCAAGTAAGCAAGTCCTCTAAATACACGCATTTTGACACTAACGTCCATCATTAAGAAGGAACAAAAATCCGAAATTGACGTATATCAAAAAATGAGCACCTCTTCTTCTTATCATAGTTGCCGTAGTTCTATAAGAATGGAAATGAGAAGCTGTGCAAAAGAAGGGCACTAGTCCTAGTCCTTAGTGGTGATTACCTTGTAGATTGGAGATGTCTTTTAGTGACTGAAAATTTAGTCCGAAAAATTGGTCAAAGTGTCGCAGGACTTTTCGAACAACCTAATATTATGAAGCATACACTTCTCAACGAGAGAGTTCCTTTATTCCGCTTGCAAAGTGAGGAGGTCTAAAGGGGATAATTAGTAAATTCCGCTGCAGCATCAAGCTGAATTTTGGAGCATTTCTCTTCGAAAATGCTATCAAGATGTTTGATGATCCGGGTGAGTTTCGTGACCTAGCGTCAAAATTCTTGTGAACGTGGAGCCGAGCAGATCCGAGTATGGTTGCCCTCTTCCTTTCACCCCAGGTGAGGTGTTTTACCAACCTGACAATTTCACGGTGCCTCGTCAACTTCAGAAGCCAGTTCTCAACACTGGTCTTCCTCGAATCGATGGAGCTCATGGATCAGGCCAGCTTCAGATCCACGAAACCACCACCATAACCTTCTTTCATGCCGCGCTGCCTTAGGCTTGGGAAAATGTTGAGGAGCTTCGTTCTTGCTCAGCCACTGATCAGATCGTCGCCGATTGTCACACATGATACTGTTCTTATCACACGTCACAGTACGATGCAGAAAGGGGTGATTTCTGGGGCATTTATTCAGTGTGGGAGAGATCTTCAAACTCCTCCTAATGGCAGCTTCCTCTAACCCTGCGACATTATTCGTCCGCGGTATCCTCTAACTAAGCTCCCGCATTGTTCCTCAACTTGTCACCCAAATTACTTCGATTACTGCCCTCTCAGCCTGTCGTCTTCTAATGATCCGATGGTGCCACTACGCTAGTCGTCCTAAACTGCTACATCGGCCTGTGACGAAATTTCTGGAGTTACGTGCACGCACAAAATTCCCTAACACATTAAGACGTGTAGGATCAATACGTAGCAGAACAGAATTCGGCGCCTCTGAGCAACCGCTTCGTAGCCCCTTTTTTAAGGAGGATACCCTTATGGCGCCCTATCAAGCTGCAACGTACCGACCCGGACACCCAACGCTCCCTCCCGCCCACAAAAATCTGCCTGATTCTGATGCTTGTATCGCTTCGCTTTGCGAAGTACAATGTAAAGCGAAGGGACTGGTGCAGAGCGGCTGCGGTGCTGCATGGATATATTTGTTATCCCTGAGACGGAGTAGGCGTGGCATTTGAACATGGCATAGAATGGGTTACTCGTGGGATATCCAGTTTGAGACAACTGTCATCTTGTTCTGTATTGGACAAAGACAAGACCGCAACTGTGTCAAAGTGAAAATATCAATCCAAAGGCACATCACCGTCATCGATAGTTATAGAACGCAGCCATCCCTACCACACCTCAGGGCTTTCAAGTGAGTAGGAATACATAATTGTAGCCGAATCTACCATAGCGGTTAGTGGCATGATGCTAACGGGATACTCGTCCGAAATTGCTTGCCGAGGCGTGGAACAAAGACGTTATTGCAGTTTTTTTTGTCATTTTCCTCATTATATAGCACCACTGCCACCATTTCAGTCCGAGTAACAAATTATCGTGCTTTACGCCTTTGAATTGCCACTGGGCTGCACATTCACTTGCCGTTCCAGGGGCGACGTTTTGTCGGTATTGCGAGCCCACAGCTTCCGCAGCTTTCCTGCCCTATTTGATGTGGAACAAAAAGTAGCGCTAATCTGTGGTTCGTAGGTAGTAGTTTCCAAAATCTGTGAGTCTAGAAAAACACCATTAAAACAAAATCGATGAGGCTCGTGTAGAGCGTGAAATGCGCTCCAAAACAATCCGAAGAAAAGTCAGCAATCTTAAAAACAGCATCCGCTGCTGGAACACCAGAAACCAATAGAACTTTCTTCACGACCATTCGTGAAATTTTAGAAATTACATGTGAACAACAAAGAACATCCACCGTCCTTCTACCTC